AAATCACACTGTCAGAGAACCAGCCCTTTTCTCTCTGTCCTGTATACTCTTTGCAACTGATTAAGATTGATGTTTCTTTTTGTTGTTTTAACATGCAGATTTATTTCAGATAAGTTGTAGCAAGGTTCTCCTGCAGTTTGCTTTCCTTTCAGGCTGTGTAGTTATCTATATGTCCTAGTTTCTCCTCCTTGATGCTTTATTTCTCTATTCATACATATGTACATGCATGCATGCATGTATTTCCCTTTTTTCCTATGACATTGCAGCATCTTCTTCCACTGGGGTCCATCTGACCTACATTCAGATCCCACCCAGTGAATAGCCTTGACCCTTGCTGTGCTCTTCATCTTTAGAGACTTTTCTCTCAGAGGAGTTTGTTAAATTTTGCCAGACACCTCGTAGAAGATGGAAATGAAAACCTGGGACTAAGCAGATAAATAACTGCACATCAATTAACTCACAAGCGACCCTGCAGCTCCCACAGAGCTGGATGCTAAAAACCCAGCTGGTACCATGACTCAACAGCACCCTTCCCCTGAGGATTTCTGTGCTTCAGTGCAGAAACATAGCTCTCTGGCCACCACACATTCTTATTATGGGCCCCAGGTGACTCTGAGCTCAGACCTTCAGATAGACTCCAGTGGGCAATTTTCCCTGCTGTTAATGAGGCTTCTTAGGTACTGCATTTAGGATCTCTTAGTCACAAAAAGCAAAAGAAATGGTCTCCAGAGATTTCAGTGGCTCCACAAGTACCAAAACAAACCCCAGCTTCTTTGATAGCTAATCTTGGCAACTAGGAAACCTACAAATGATTGGCATGCTCATTTTGAAATGTCTGCTCCTCTTGCACAAATGAGATTCCATTCCAGTCAGCTACTGCATATTTATGCTCAGCTTTTAATTAACTTATTGATCATGTGATGATGCACTATCCTTTGCTACCTTTGGGGAAATAAAAAAAAATGGGGAAAAATATGTGCTCTAATGGTGGGGCTATTTCATGCTTCCTGAATATTCAGTCCAATCCTCCTGGTCTCTTTCTGTCCTCTTTCCTCCCCAAAAGCTTCATGGTTCTCCAAAGACATCCCAGAAGAGAGGGTGACTACCATTCCCCAGTAAGCCCCTGAGGCTGCCATTATGTGACGTGTAATTATACAGCTAAACCAGGGTCAAGCGTCTCCCTTTAATGGTAAAATATGGTATTACACTCTAAATTCCTGTACTGCAAAAACAAACAGTGCCATCAATTCATTTCCAGTCAGACCTCCACCCCTTGGGAAAAGTATACAGAACTTTCTGGTGGGAAAAATAGTTTGGAACTACAACCTCTTTACTAGAGTGAAAGTTCTTCCTTCATTCAGCTTGTCTTTCATTAGCCACCCTGGTACACTCCAGTGAGGAATGTGGCCTGAAGAGGTACTTCGAGGTCACGAGAGGCAAGTCCGTAAGGGGTGTAGTACACTCTCAATATGTACTCATATCTCCTGACAAGATTATGAGGTCTGATGCAAAGCTAAGAAACCACATGGCCATTCGTAGGTAAATGTCTCTAAGACAGTGGCTTTTCAGAGAAGGATTCCATTACCTTGCACACAAATGAAGCATCTACTTTCTCTGTTTTCTTTGAGCTCTCTTACTGTGAATAATATCTTCCTGTTTTTCACCCTTCTGTTTGAAACACAGAGGGAGCAGGTGAGGAGGAAAGGAAGGTTTTAAAATTCTCTTGTGTTTCCCTAATTCAACACTGGTATGTGGGGTTGAGTAAAACTGCGTTCATATCCATGGTTCCTCTTGATCACCCATCTAAGAGGTACAGGAGGAAGAGAAGGGCTCTCTGAGCCCACCTTACAGCCACACAGTAACATACCACGGTAATGCTCTTTCTGTGATCCCAGAGCAGACCAGCCCATGACTTTCAGGCAAGGAGCTGGCTGATGAGACTCAGCAGAGCATTCCAGGAGAAAGAGCTCACAGTGTAAATCTGGGGCAACTCCACAGAAGTTAGCAGAGTGACTCCAGATATGTTCTGCTGTTACAAAGGTACAAAGCAGCTATTTGTGATAGCAATGAAAAAGGGACCTTTTATTTCCAGGCCTGAGTCTCTCCTGAGATGTGCCAACTGTCTCAGTGCAGTGCCATTGCTTCCAGTGAGGTTGCTTTACTGCAACTGGGAGCAAAATTTAGTTCACTAGCTTCAGTGGTCATCTGAGGACAAGATTTGGTGCTGTTTGTCACCTGGATTTTGTACCAACAGCAAATGCTGTTTTACCAGCAGCAATGGCTATTGGGCTCTATGTCTGGAGTTGCTCTGTAAAAATAAATTACAAAATTGTGAATTTGGTTACACCAAAAACATTCTTGCAGTATGATGCTAATCATAGTAAACATAACCACCCATCCATCACCACAGATTTAAAAATATAGTCATCATTTTCACAGGCAAAACCTGTACAACATGTTTCAGATCTTGCAGCTGCCCAAAAGGAAACTCAATTTTTTTTTTTTTTTGAGTTGTTTGGGTTCCTGCATCTTTAATAGTTCCTAAACTGTGCAATTTGAGAAGGAAATGGAAGATAGATGTGCTATTGAATGCACATATTCATTTGGCATGTGAGCAGTGCCGTTGCCTTCAAAAAAAAAACTGCGCACATGAACAGGGGCAGGAGGATTGGGTCTGTTGTCTTCTACTCCATTCTCTTTGATCCTGCAAGTGTACTCTCTGTCAAGGTCGCATCAGGCTGCCAAGGCACTTTTTGCAACTCTGTATGATCTGTGTTTGTCCTTTATTTATTCAAAATGCAATTGCTTCTGCAATTTAATCTGCTCTTCTCTCCCTCCCCTTCCTCTTGGTGAAGTCTAATTACAGTTTTATTCCAGGTCCATCTGGTTGCTAACGATGCTGGACATCACTGCTGAATTCATTCTAATATTTGTTGTGTATTTTCTAGGCTTGGATGCTGAATAATAATATTCTCTGAATTTGCTTTTGCTCCTGTTTCCTTCCTCCCTGTGGTAGCTAATTGTGTAGTAATGTGTAGTCACAGGATGATTACTCCTCCCAGTGTAGATGTGCTACTAGTTGCCTATTTCAGGTTGCAGAATAAAGGGGGGGGGTTTTCTGGTTTTGAGGATAATATTTCAAAGTCCACTCTGCCAGCTCCCTTCACTGGTGTGGAACCAGCTGGGCAGTGACTTTCTCTTCTTCATCTTTTTTTTTTTAATTGTTTTTCTTGCCCCAAACTTAACACAGTTTATAATTGTGAGTCTCAAAGCATCCTGGAGGCAGTGTTTCAGCATTTAGAAAGATACTTTTCGCCAGTGCTTGCTCCATGTGATGGTTGAACCCACAGTAATTTCAGGTTCCCAGGCCTGGCTTGTGCAGTGCCAGTGCTGGGTTTTTTAATTTTTTTTTTTCTGCTTTTTGCTTTCTGCAACACTGCCTGGGAACACAGACTCGCACTTTACCCATGACCTGACTCTCTGGCTAAGAATAGCAGTCACAGTGCAACTTGGATTCAGTCTCACTGGAGTCATGCTGCAGCTGGGAACAGGGAGGTCAGATTAGCCCATGCTCACAAAACCAAACACATAAAAGGAGGAGGGAGGATTTTGTGTGTTTGCCTTCTTTTAGGACGGCAGAACAAGGGGAAGAGGTTGGCACAGGTGTTCAGTGAGCCAACATAAGTCATCTTTACTTGTGACGTTGACTTGCACAGGAAGTTTACATACAGAAGCTCACCTCCTGGGCTGGAGAGGACCTTTTTCAAAAGGATCCTATATCCTTATGGACCATCCAGCCAAAAATCATGCTAGATAGCGACAGTGAGTAGTGCTGATTATCATCTGCTGAGTCCTGCTTAGAACAATGACATGTTTAAGATAGCCCCTGCAGTAATTCTGCACAGCAAAGTGAAGGTATGAGTTTAGCACGTGCTAGTGGATCTGCCATAACTTGTCCTAGACGGCCGATGTACTGATGCTGTGGTAGTATCTTCAGCATGAGTGAGTAACAGGTCTCACTCTGAGCACTTGCTAAAGCTGACTTTGCTCTCGTTCTTACCCCTTCCCGCTGGGATGTGCCAGCACATGCTACATTCACACCTTCATTTTGTGGTGCAGGTGTGCTTTCAGAGTAACAAAAATACCAGTCCTGAGCTATAGTTTAAGATGTGAGCTAAAGTATTAGTAATAGAAACTGTTAGGATACTCGTTGTGTCTGGGTAAAGATAAAGGTGACAATCAGTGGGGTTTAAAGAGCACAGCCCCAGTTCGACTGTGCCCTCTGCTCCATTGTGATGTGGCAGCCAGCCATTCCCAGCACCAGCACAGAGCATTACATCTGGAACATGGACTGGTGGATTGATATTACACTGGCAGAAGGGGAGCTGGTTTTTGAGAGAACCATACGACACTGTTCCTGTACTCTTCCTCCAGCCAAATCTAAGCCAAATGGGGAAGGGTGCTGTGTTGCTAGGAATCAGAGATGTCTGGAGGAGCTGGTCCTGAAAGCCCTACTCCGGTGAGCAGCCATGCTCAAAGCGATCTATCTGGCTTCCCTGTGCCCCTTCTCCCAGAGTTGGAGGGGAGGAGTGGCTGCCCTGGGATCACATTAGCTGGATAGGGACTGCTCACAAAAGCCAGGGATCTCAGGACTGGGCTACAGCTTGAGACAAAATAAGTAGACTTAAGAGGAAAACCCGTTGAGGTATCAGGGCAGTAATTCTAATGGTAATTTTGAACTGTTTTTGTCTGTCTAACATTCCTTTTTAATCCCCATCCTGCCTGCCCCTTCCTTATGTAGGGTTACTTTAGTGATCCTTGGAATGTTTTTGACTTCCTCATCGTAATTGGCAGCATTATAGACGTCATTCTCAGTGAAACTAATGTGAGTATTACTCTACCCTCCCCAGGATACCACCACCTCCTCCTCCTCTGCTGTTCCTCCTCTCTTTCTCTCTTTCTTTCTCTCTCTTTTTTTGTTCTGGTTTTTTTCCCTCTAGTCATGCTTTTATTGAACTTGCCGTCGTCCTTCTCCTTCTCCCAGGGAAAAAAAAAGGAGGGGGGAAATGCCTCCTTCTTTTTCACTTGTCATAGCTTGCCCCAAGGCTGTGACTGGTGAAAGCGCACAGAGTTTGGGGTGTGTGTGCTTTTTTTCCCTCCAAAAGGTAGACATGCTTGAGTGTAACTTTCTGACTAACCAGGCTTTTGTTGATACCCTCCATCATGTGAAACGTTACAGAGGTTTGAGCAACCAATACTGTAGAGTGGTAAGAGACTATTTAATATGCCCACGTAACCTCTTTCTTTTCTTATTTTTTTCCTCTTCTCTCCCTCTTTCATGTTTTGTTTTGTTTTGTTTTTTATTTTTTTATTTTACTTTTCACTTTTTTCCCTCTTTTCTCCCTTTCCCTCTCTCTCTCCCTTCTCTCTCTCTCTCATTCTTTCTTTTTCTTCCTTTCTCTCTCTCTCTCTCTCTTTCCTTGGCTTCTCTGCCACATGCAGCACTATTTCTGTGATGCATGGAATACATTTGACGCCTTGATTGTTGTGGGTAGCATTGTTGATATAGCAATCACCGAGGTGAACGTAAGTAGATGGCGTCTGTCCATGATCGTGCCTGCTCTAACATTCATTTGTCTCTCCCGGGCTCTTTTTTTTTTTCCTTCCCCTTCCTCCTTTCTTTTGAGTTTGTTTTCAGAGCTTTTTGTTTAGTTTTGAAGTTCTCTCTTTTTCTTTTCTTTTTTTTTTTTTTTTTTTTGTTTGTTCTGTTTTCTTTTAATTCTGTTTTAATTTTTGGAACGACTTAAAGGACTTCTTGAGTGTTGCATCATTTTCTTCCCTTCATAATCCGCCTGGCATGAGTTAAACTGTATAGCAGGAAAAGTGATGGGAAATGTGGAGTGTAAGTGAAAAAGCTATTTGTGCCATGGGAAGCTGCTAGAATAGTCCCAGGCCAGCACTTTGGTCTACCCAGTGTTATGCTTTGCTTCCCATGGCAGTTCAATACTCTCCACCCCACAGAGATCTAAAGGTCAGTTCTTTCGAGGTGGAACTGCGGGAACCAAACCAGGAATCCTCCCTGTGCCTCCTCACCCAGGCTTCCTCTAAAAGAAACAGAGACCAAATCATCTCCTAATGTTTAGTTTCTAATTTGAAAATTGCAGATAAATTAAAAACAAAGCGGAAAGCCCACACTAAAACAAAACACCAGAGTTTCAACCCAGTTTTTTGGGTTTGCAACCCGGTTTGTTCCATCTCACAAATTCCACCAGCACAATTGACACTGATTGGCCCCACTGGTCCCCATCTCAGCAGACAGGTAAAGGATGCAGTGAGCCACAGAGACTGAAATGAGCAGCTGGTGTTCAAGGAATAAATCACACCAGGCAAACTTTTTCCTCTGTCTTTTTTTTGGAGGTGAATGGCTATAGAATTACAGGATAAATAGACAAAGTACAGGCAGGAAGCACACAGAATCCCAAAAGAAATACTAGAAAGGAAAGGGTTTATAAGCATGGACAAAAATTGCACAACAAAATACAGCTTAGCGAGGCCAGGAAAGTAGAAAGATTGAAAGAAAACTGCTGTAAATATGTTAATGAAGAGGAAATCAATCATGAATTTGCAAAACGATGTGGCTGTTGAATAAACATTCCAGCTTGGAATTGTTGTGTACTGTAGAGGCAATCCACTGCAAACAGAAAAGTGACAGCATGCTTTTCACTCAGTGCTGTGCTTAGGGAAAAATGCAAGCAACGTTTTGAACAAATCAAAATGCCTAACTTTGAACTTTCCAAACAAAATGCTTTCATATCATGCTTCTAGTTTAATTTCTGTTCAACTTTTTTTTTTTTTTTTTTTTTTAAATTCTGAAACAGGGACATTTATCTGAGTTGTAATACTTTGCTTTAGAATAAATTAAATCTTTTATTTGACACTAGTGTATATTCTTTGTCTTTTGAGAGAATGGAAAATAGTTTCTAACGAAAAAATTAAATTTATTTTATGTCTCTTAAATGACCTACTTTCTGGACACAAAAAATTGTTTGTAACATTTCCCCCAGAATGTTGTAAACAATTTTGGTTACCCTTTTACTAGAGGGATATTAGGATTGGGCTGACTTTGTAGAGGGAAGTTACTGTGATCAGCAGGCTGAAGTTGTTAACTTTAAAGAATTAAATTAAAGCCTTTTTTATGCCACACTTGCCACAAGAAGACTAAATCAGGAACCTGGCAATAGCCTTCAGATTATGGAAAATTTCAGTTCTCATCCATAGAGGCAGAAATGTACATGGAAATTGAGGAAATAAGTACAGTTAACTGGAGATGAATTATGCTAAACATCAACAAGACTTTCCTGACTGATGTATTTGAGTCCGTAGAAGTCTTCCAGTCAGAAAGGAGGGAAAGCCTTGTGTTTTCATAAATAAAGGGAGGTCTATCATAGTCAGAAACCCTTTATTGGAGGGAAAATCTAATGGATTATTTGAAGAAATTCAGACTAATTTCCTATAAAGTAAAGAACTTTTAATGTCATGGTTTAAGATACTTTGATATACATCTCATTAAAATTTAGTCATCTGAGGGGAAGACAGGTATAGCCACCTAGTCTTCTTCTTAAAGTTAGTGGAGAGAAAGACACACCTCCCCAGGCCAACTGGTGCCTCCCTGTGCATGTCTGTGACAGGCGAAATGAATTGCTCTTTGGAGGTGCCCATCCAGAGACTGGAGAGTGTCTAGGTTTGTTAGGTTTGTCTAGACACCCAGCTCTCAGATGCTAAATTTAAGCAGGATAAATCCCATTCATTCACAGCATGTTGTCGAGAACGTCACACTGCTGCTAATTGTGCTGTGTTCAGATCTTCAGTCTCCAGGGCTATCCATACTGGTGTGTTTAATTACCCCTGACAAGGCTCCCTCTCTTTTCCATTCTCTGTCTAAACTCAAGTTCATGTCAGCCCAGAATCCAGTTTTTGGTTGCAGAAATCTATGAAAAATAAGGGCATGCCTCTGTCCAAACAGCCATCACCTGTCACAGTTGAGGAGGCAGCAGGAGTAGCCCTGACTCTTTCAGTCAAGGTTATGAACAGCATTTCGTGATGGTCCCTCTGTTCCCTCTAAAGAATCTTTTCCTTCTATACAGTTCTTACAGATTTCTGCACACGTCTTTTTGTTACCTGGCATGTTTAAATCTTCTCTTTTTATCTAGGCAAGTTCTTTGCTACTAGTTTCTAATGTTTGTTACTAAAAACTTGCACAATCTTTTGATGCACTGATAAATGAGCAGCAGCTATGGATGGAGTTTGTTCTGAAATGTTCTGAAATCCCTTTGCACTTGTAACCCGTATTGAATAAGAGAATGTTTTGTATGTTGGTTTGTCCTGTCGGATTCCCTTCCTGCTAGCAGCACTTGATACATTATACCTGTAGCAGATGGGCTTTGGAAGTAGCAGCCCACCTTGGATGGACAGTTCTCACCTTCCCAAGCAGTGTGAGGGAGTTTATAAGATACACTTCTCCCCTTCTCCTCAGGAGCTTGTTGCTTTCTTGCTGTTTGTGGGTTTGAGCAAACCCTGCCTTGTGTTTCTGTACACTGTCTTGTCTTGTTCCAAGAGACCTGGAGTCTGAAAAGAAAGAAAAAATAATCCTTGAAATGCTAATAAACTCCACTAATTGGAGATATTTAGCCAGGTCAGGTGCAGATAAGATGTTTCTGCCCAATTCCTTAGAAGATGAAGAGCATTTGTCATAGGGTCTTGGAAAGTGCTGCTCTTGGAGCTAAGGGACAGTTGTCACTGTGGTCAGTTAGGGAAGATGGAGACACCTGGCACAGGTTAGCTTGACATGTGGCCATAAACATGTAAGCCTGAAATTTCTGTGAGGTTCCATAGACGATGGCACTAAGGGGAAGTATACCCAGCAGGTGCTGAGCAGCAGTAGCTGTAGTTGTGGTAGGAAATCTGGCTGACAGGCTCCACAGTGTGTGTGCAGGTATGTGATTGCTTCTTTTTGTGCAGTTCCCCGTGCTCTTTTTTTTTTTTTTTTTGTCATTTTGACAGTTATTTTTGTTTCCTGAAAAGGAATTTCCCAGACCAAAACGTTCAATAAGATATATGTGAGTGTGCATGGGTGGGTTTTTGTGTGTGCGCTCCATTGGTTGTGGTACATGTTCTTGAATGTGTTTGGATACCTGTGTTTGGGCTACAAATCCATGGGAGAGTGTACAGACGTGAATCTGTGTGTGGAGGAAAGAGAGTATGTATGCAAGCATACATATTTCATATGTATTTGTGTTGTGAATGGCTGTTGATGGAGAAACATGGGTTGTCATGTATGTAACTGAGTCTATGAAGATGTTTTTCGAGCCGATGTCACTATCATACTGTGCAAGTTTGATCTGCTTATGGGTGAGTGTTTATATCTGAGAGTTTGCTGTATGCAGGCATGTTCATCCGCATGCCTCTGGGTGAGTGTATGTTTGCATGTCAAGCTCAGCATATTTTTGTTAGCATGGCTGTGCATTCAAAAACAACGAGAAGGCTTGTATTCATGAGGTAGGCTCCCAGGTTGCCTTCAATATTTCTGAGTCCTTTAGGAAGCCTCCACTTAAAACACTTCCATGGCATGGAGATATGTCAAATGATCAGTTCAATTGCATCACGTCAGGCCCACTTGCTTACTGCAGCTTGGCAACACCTCCCAAGTCCCCCCAGCAAGCTCCACAGACACATGGAGATGCATCTCACACCACTGATAAGTGCACAGGCATAAGGCAGGTTAAAACCTGGTGGGTTTGAGAACGTCAGAGTGGCACAGTTTCTGCCAAATTTACTTTTAAATTGCCTTAATTTCAAGCTGCATTTTCAGAGCTTAGCTTTTCAGTAAGTGTCACCCCACTAACTTCCTAGCTTGCATTTTCTTCCTTTCAACATCAGCAGAGATAGCCTGGAGTTGAGTGCTGTGAAGCGGTCTGACAGTCTGCTGTCCTCTCCTCCAGTCAACGAAAGTGGCTCATTACTATTTGTGGTGCTGTATCGAATAGGGAAATCAAGTTCAATTTGTGCTTTGTGCTATGGTGCCCAAAGTGATGCAAGAAAAACAGCCAGACCCTGAGTCACTGGGAAATCTGCTAATGTAACATCCTTCCTCTCTGTCGGACAGAAAAAATACATTTCCCCAGTCCATAGGGTCCTTTTTCCTTCACCATTTCCCCTGCCAGTGTCAGACCAAAGATTTGCTGTGGCTGAGTCTTCATTTGCCACCAAAGCGGTGCTCACAGCAGTGCCCGCTGAGCTGGATGCCGAGAGTTTGGCCCATCCATCTGCAGTGCGCAGTTCACAGAGTGTAGATGTGTGAGTGTTATGGAGGCATGATCAGGTGAGAGCATGTGTGTCTCCAGAACACAGGTATAGGTACCACTGACAGTGGAGATGTCATGTGTTTGATTCTGTCTGTCTGTCTTAAAAGGATGTTGGTGAGGGAGGGTTTGTGCCTACCTGTGAGCCCATCACTGAGGGCTTCTGCCGGTGCCCCTGAGTGTGGCTGCATGTGCAGGTACCTCTGTGTTCATCAGCTGTGTCTGAGA